AAAATTAATTAATTTTTAAAACCTTCACCCATTCAACATTTTTGTTTGAGAATTTTCATAAGCCCAGTCGAATTCATTGTTTAATTTCAAAATTATCTTTAATAACTTAGTATTATCGACGATGGGCCGTACAATACTTTATTAAAATTTTGAAATTATTAAGGCCCAATAAAATTCAATCATGCTTATCCGTTGGGGCCTCACATGATTATTTTATTGATAGGCCCACAATGCGCCTGGAGGTTAAATTAATTTCTTAATTTAAATCTCCTCCCATAGATATTTAAGTCCAATCTAATAAAATTCAATCATGCTTATTCGATGGGACTTCACATGATTATTTTATTAATGGTCCTATAATGCGCTTGAAGGTTAAATTAATCTCTTAATTTAAATCTCCTTCCATTCAACATAAGCAACATTTTCTAATTTCCAAGAATTATTTAATTGAGAGTATCCTTTGTTCGATTTCAAAAACTATATAAGTAAGAGCGCCGATAAACGTGCACTAAGCTTAACATAATTTTGAAAGCATTAAGGTCCTGAAATCCGGTCACTTTACGTCAGCGTGTGCTCCAAAAAATCATGATACATGAAGGTTGTATGCAGAATGTGTTATTCCATGACCATTTCAGAATACCCACAAATTACTCGCAAAATAAAAGAATTCTCTTAGAAAATTTTCTCTGATTATTTTTCTAGATTTAAATCATCCAAATAGCTGACTTAATTATTAATCTAGATTGCAACAATCATAATAATTATCATTTATGAGGATAATTTGAAATCAAAATAATTTCCATAACGATTATTTGTTTTGATCTTAATTATCCAAAATTAATTAATTCAATTATTAATCTAGATTTTTAATAAAAATCATAATAATTATTAATTAATTTCTTAGGATGATTTAAAATCAAAATAATCCCATAATAACTATCATACTAGTCGCTGAAGACATAATAGCTATTATGCTCATGCAATCATACAAGTTATGCAACAATATGGCACCACCTATTCTATATGGCATGTTATCGCAATAAAACATGTTATCAATCATATAATTTATACCAATCTATAAAAGCATTAAATAATAAATCATAATTACTTTAATCCATGGCCTTCCTATTTTAAAGAAAATAAAATAAAATTAAATTAAATAATACAACTTTGTAATTCGACTTTCGCCTAGCCCATAGTATCTGTCTCAAGTCCCTTTAGGGTTTCATGGGCCCAAAAGTCCAAAGACCCAATCCTTTGGCGAGAAACCCTAGGATGCGAAAGAGGAACCCTAGCGTCAGGTCTGCCGCGCCGTCACTCGAAGTCAAATCAGGCTGAAACTCCAGGGGAAGGACCGCCACGTAAAGACGAGTTCACCTCCGCCGGAACCACCCAAAAAGGTGGCCGGACGCTCCCTCACTCTCTCATTCTTTGCCGGAGAGTGGCGGCCACTCTCATCCTCTTGTGGAGGCGCGTGGTGGAGCGTGAAGTCTCCGATGGCCGTGATCCACCCACCGTTGTGTTCGTCTTTCTTTCCTATTTCCAACCATATATAGATCGCCCCATTCCGAGATCGGTAAGTCCTCGAAAAGTCTCCGACAGTGCTGATTGCGCATCTTCCTCGCGATTTCTCGATCTTGAACTTTTACAAAATATTGAAAAAATACACAGAAATTCCAAAAATAAACAAAAACAGCAAGGAGGAAACCTAATCATATGGGATTAGCCTCCTTGTTACAAATCGAGAAATACACGAGAGACCCTAACCATGGATTAAAGCATTTTTACCGATTAAAATTTAAACTTTTATGAAAATGAATTATAAAATACACATGCTAGATTCATACCATAATCCTAGAACCCTAGGTGCCACATTTCAAGAAGCAAAACTAATTACATGAATAGTGAAACTAGATTCACATACCAATGTACAGCCAAGGCTCTGATACCAATTGTAGGAAATCTTAGATTTATGCAGAAACGGTTTAGGACCTAGTACATTGGTATGCTTACCGAATCATCCTTGTTTCACAATTACCTCTCGGTGCGCAGGTCTCGTGTAGAATCTTCCCTTGTAGGATTCCTCTTCACGAACAGCTCACCTCAGCGCCGCAGCACGAACAACCTCCTTGAAGCTGGACTGTGGCAGATCTTCCAAACTATCTCTCGAGGAGGAAGGGGAAGTGTGTGGGCACTGATTAGATTCTGAGCTTGTCTCTTTCTCACAAAAAAGACCTAGTAGGCTGATGAATTAAGATGTACTATTTATATGGGTTCCAAGAAACCCTAGCTCATTGGGCTCTAGGTTCCTTGGGCTCTTCTCATACTAATAACCCATTTGGGCTTTAGTAAAAGAGCAAACCCAACAGGAGCAACCTGAAGGATTCCAAGCTCCAGACCAAGAAGACTTGGTATGTCGATTGAAGAAGAATCTCTATGGCTTGAAGCAAGCACCTCGGCAGTGGTACAAGAAGTTTGAATCATTCATAACTGATCATAAGTTTGAGAAGATAGAAGCCGACCACAGCGTATTTGTGAAGAGGTATGAGGCATGATATTTTTTGATCTTGTTGTTATATGTTGACGACATGCTTATTGTAGGGAAAGACAAATCGAGGATAGCCGCCCTAAAAAAAGCGTTGAGCTCGTCCTTCGCAATGAAGGCCCTCGGCCCTGCAAAGCAGATTCTCGGAATCAAGATATCCGAGATAGACAAAAGAAGCTACTGTGGCTGAGTCAAGAGAAGTACATTGAGAAGATTCTGAAGAGATTTAGCATGGACAAAGCCAAAACAGTGAGCACCCCCCTAGCCGGACACATAAAGCTGAACCAGAAGCAATGTCCGAGATCTGATGAAGACAAAGATAAGATGATGAAGGTCCCGTACCAATCCGCTGTCGGAAGCTTGATGTATGCAATGGTTTGCATTAGACCCGACTTGGCGTATGCTATTGGAATGGTAAGCCGTTATTTGTCAAACCCCGGCAAAGAGCACTGGGAAGCAGTGAAGTGGATCTTCAAGTACCTCTGAGGTACGACCGACTTATGTCTCAAATTTGGAGAAGGCAAAGCCGAGTTGCAAGGCTACTCGGATTCTGATTTAAGGGGAGACGCCGACTCGAGGAAGTCGACTACAGGATATTTGATGAGATTTGCCGGAGGAGCTGTCTCTTGGCAATCAAGACTTCAGAAATGTGTTGCACTGAGGCTGAGTACATTGCCGCTACTGAGGCAAGCAAAGAGATGCTGTGGATGAAGAAGTTCCTCATGGAACTTGGCCATGATCAAGACAAGTACGAGCTGGGTTGTGACAATCGAAGTGCAATCCATCTTGCGAAGAATTCGACCTATCACTCCCGCACTAAGCATATTGATGTAAGGTATCACTGGATCCGGGATGTGGTGGACGGTGGAGAGCTCGAACTCGTCAAAGTGAACACTGACCATAATTGGTCCGACATGATGACAAAGCCAGTTCCAGCAAGGAAATTTGAAGACTGCTGTGAAGGAGCCGAGTTGATGCTGAAGCCGATGCATTGAAGTCGGAGGGGGAGATTTGTTGGGCTTCCTCCTTCAATGCTAAGCCCAAGCCCATTTGAAAGGTTTCCTAAAAACCCTAACCCTAATTTTCACCTCCTCTATATATACTCATTAGTTGTGGGTGGAGCCTAGGTCATATGAGAGAATTTTATTTGACAGATATTTGAGAGAAAATTGTTTGAGCAAAGCTTTATGCTTTGCATTTGATAGATCTCTAGAGAGAGTTTGAGTGAAACATCTCTAGGGTAGTTTGATTATCACCATTGTTGGAGATGTTGAATTAACCACCACATTGGTGTATTTGATTCTTTGTAACCATTATTTTCATAGTGGATTTTTGATCTGGACTAGGTCCCGTGAGTTTTGACTTCTTCATTGAAGAAGGTTTTCCCACGTTAAATCTAGTTGTGTTCTTCTTCTCTCTCCTGTTTTCATTTTGTTTTTCCGCTGCGCTGCCCGACCTGGTGAAATTCAGGTCGAGGTATTGCTGAGATTTGAGATCGACGATCTCATTGACTGACTTCCGCACAAAAGGCCCCTGAGCCGATTTGAGGGAACGATTTTTCCCAACAACATTGCGGGTCTTCAACACTAAGTCCTCCTATTTATATATTTTGTGATACAGAAAGCATCGTGTGGTACTGATTAGCTATTATGAGGAGGAGTTATGAGATTTCATAGTTTTTTAGTGTGTATTATACACACAGACGCTTTGGTTTACTCCTTGGTCGTTAAGAGCAAGATATGTTATACATGATTTTTATTTTATATTTCATTTGATGTATATACATTTGGAAACACTCTTATGGCTTATCCTACCCTCCAAAAGAAAAGAGACACGCTTATTCAGGAGGGGGAAGAAGACAAGGTCAAATAAAGACACAAAGTACAACTGTAAGTAACACCTAAATTCTGCATCCTCGTTCTTAAAGGCGATAACGTTGGAGCCAACGATTATTGAGTTCTATGCTGGTGTCAGTATTTGGTTTTTTACATATTTTAATTGCCTACTAGATACAATTTAAGTTCTGAATTGGAGATAACTTTTTTTAATGTAACCATACAATCAAAACAGGACAATTTTGGATAAGATTGTCTAATTGTTACCGTTTCATGACTGCTATGCAAAGATAATATTTAGCATAATTAATAGTTCAATAAACTCCACAATTTACCATTAATATTATAACAATGACAAAAAGTTGTGTCCTTTGTAAAACTTTTAAACTTTTTGGTCGATATCAACAACACGGCCAGCAACGGTGACATTCTAATATATATATACATACAAATTACGTCCATTCACCTTTGACATGTTCTTACTTGTCCAGTTCGAAGAGTTGAAGATCCTTGCCTTCTAATATAAGCTTATAAAATATCTTCAATTGAAGCTCAAAAGTTTCGGTTATTATTCAAGTAGTAATTAACAAGGTTTGAGATATTGAAATTAAGAAGCAAAAATGGGAGCAGTAAATGAAGGAATAATCCGAAACAGAAAGAAGTCATCATCCAGAGGACACCATAGGTTTGTAGGGGTTCGTCAAAGGCCATCAGGGAGATGGGTGGCTGAGATCAAAGACTCTCTACAAAAGGTTAGGCTTTGGCTCGGTACATTTGACACTGCTGAAGATGCAGCTCGTGCATATGACACTGCTGCTCGAGCTTTGCGTGGTGCTAATGCTAGGACCAACTTTGAATTGCCAGAGTCTGCAATCTCTGGTGCTACAACTAAGCGCGGTGGTGGTGGTGGTTACAATTTCATTCCTGATAACACTGAACCCTTTTCTTTTGAGGATGTGAATGAGCCTGGGACAGATTCTGATGGCCTTCTTGGTGCACTCAAGGCTAAACTGAAGGAAGGAAGGTTTCCAATTCCATCTCGTGCTAATTGTGTGGTTCAATCTGGTATGTTTTCTAGATCAACTCAAAATTGTTATGGGAAGAAAGAGTTATCATCAGGAGCTACTGTTTTCTCTCCCATGAATGTTACAGCCAACAACAACAGTATTGTCCCTGGTTTAATGGTTACTACTTCATCAAACACTTCTGCTAAGAGTGTTCTTATCCCGAATCATGATCATGAAGGTGCTTTAACAAGCAGTGTTGGATTCAACTCTAATCAACTTTGCCAAACCCCTCCTATGACATGGTCTAATGAAATGGCATATGAATTGCCTTGGCCTTTGCAAATGAACCAAGTTGCTGATAATAGCTTGCTTGCATCTTCAAGTGCAGCCACTTTTACATGGCCACCTTATGGGATAACCGAGTCATCTACTGATATGATATATGCAGATCATGAGGGGCCATCAAATAGCAACAGGAATGGCCAAATGAATATGGGGAACATGCAATTACCTCTAGTTGGTGGAGAAACTGAAGGCTTTTGGACATTGGAACAGCAACAATTTTTGCAATGTGAGAACAACGGTTGGTTTAGTTCTAGTGTTTCTTGGGATCCTCTCCTCTATGTTCCCTCTGAGCTAGCTTGATTAGTGTCAATATGTCGGTGAAAGAAATCTTAATTTGTCTACTCTTAATCTTGTTCTACTAATCATTCTTTTAATTTGATATTATAGAAGACCCTCTCTGTATGCTCAGAGATTCACCAAATTTTATTATGTGAGTGAGGGAATGTTGTGTTTGTTTCTGACCTTAAAACATAATAATCATAATTTTCGTCATTTTAATCTGTATTGAATTTTTTTTTTTTTTTTTTCATATCCCTACTAGATATATTAATACTCGTTCTCGAGTCTCCGATGGAAATTTCCTTTCCTTTTTTATTTTCTTTGTATTGAATGATTCATTGACACGGGCAAATAAATGAAATGTTACATCATTCTTTTGGGTTAAACTTAAAGATGAAGAGTTCTTTTCGCGACTTTGTCGTACCTCACCAAACATTTGTCAAGAACAAGATTTAACCACTCAAGTGATTATAAGTGCTCTTTTTTTTTTTTTTCTAGCAATACCATTCTCGGGCATCTATATTAAATTAAATCTCTTATTTTTGAATGAGAAATGCTGCGCTTCTTTGATTTCAGTCCAGGAAATTTTTTTTCCATTTTCAAGAATTAAAAAACAAAAGAAAACTTGTTTGGATGGACACTTTTTGTCTGATTATTTTGAAAAACTTATTTAAAATATTAAATTTTTATAATAGAAAAATAAGAACACGCTTTAGTTGTTTTTATTTTCTTGTTCTTATTTTTATGAATTCTTAATTTTCATTTTAGTCCGAACATCCTTGAACTTTCAAAATTTATACTCAAAAATAAAATTCATTAAACAATTTATTTTTATATATTTATTTTATAAAATAACTCTAAGAAACAATGAAAAAATAAGAACAAAATCGAACTGACGCACTATCTCCGAAATTATGGTAAAATATTTCTCCCGTCAACAGAAATAAGTTATCTCCAGTAAACACAAAACGACTTCGTTTTATGATGAAAATCAAGGTGTTTTTGTAATTATAATTTATTATTGTACTATATTAGTCTTTATTATTGTAATTTTTTTAATTTTATAACCTCAAAACGACATCGTTTTGAACTCACTGAAGAAAACCTTTTCCCTTTTATTATTTCAACGATAGGTCCCATACAGATACTTGATATAATCAAAATTGAAGGAATGTGAGTGAAACAAACAATCTGGCATATGCCCTGGTGCCACACTTTTCTATTTATTCCAATGCAGCACTTAGTTTAGAAAGTTTTCTTGTCCAAAAATTCATTGATTCCACCAGCCCCACCTTGTGAATTTTCTTATTTAAGATTAAAAAACTTAAAATGATTTAAGAGATAAAGCTTTATTCTTTTCATTTCCGAAATGTATCACTTTTTGGCTCTGTTAGATATGACAAGATCCAATAGGGAATAGAAAAAAATACTTAAATATTTATAGTGGTAGGTATTTGTATGATGACATGACATGACACTATGACTTGGGCCTTTACAAATTCTACGAGAGGCACAATCTATGGCGAATGAACGAGGGTTTGTACACGTTATAAATGAACGGTCCTCGTTATCCTACTGAGCTCTTAATATTCATAAAGAATCATGAAAACGTATTAAATGGAAAGTGTTCCAGAAAAGCTTGAGGAAGGAACCTCCTAAAAAAAAATCAAGGAACAAGAGATTTGACATCTTAATCATGTGATCCTCTGCTTTTGTTCTAAAACACAATATGCTATAGAATTTGTGCCATTTCCAGTGAATCCATCATCTGTTGCATCCTGGCCACAAAGACAAGTAGGCAGGATAATATTACGTGTAAAAGAAATTTTCAGATGGAGAGAGAGTCAAAGAATATATCATCTCTTATCATAAATATGTGAGGAAAGTAAATTACATCTCCGACATCTTTTCTCCTGCAAATTCCATTTGCAGACTTAAAGTATAGGCAAAGAATTAATTTGTGGAATGCGGTTTTCAACATAAGTAATTGTTTTATATTTGTTAATAAACACTTTAAAGATTTTATCTTGAAGACAATTGATATGATTGTTTATAAAATGTTATATAAATCAGATACGATATTATGCTTACCTTTTTTTCATTGCTAATTTACCTGCTCATCTCCAACACATATAAGAATCTCGAGAGTAGAGAGAAATGATGAAAATTTGTTAAGATTTTGATTTAATAGTTTTAGAGATAAGTAGCTAAGGAAACAAGAAAAAAGTAGGTAAAATATTTTATCCCGATATAAATTAATTAAGAAGAATATTATACTTACAATCTATTTTCGTTTACAATATTTCACAATCATATGTTAACCGTTAATTTCCACTAATCAATGGCTATTATTTTCGTATATTAAATTTATTAATTAATTATTAATTCGCAATAAATGATAACCCTAGATTAGCGGAAACTAATGGTTAAAATGTGATTGTGAACAAAAATAGGTGGTAAATATAACATTCCTCGTTAATTAAATTAAGGAAGTTTCTGGTTTGCTAAAATATCCTTTGAAAAATATTTTTCTCTCTAAAATCTAAGACTATAAAAGTTACCAAAATTATGAATATAGTATAGACTATAAAGAAGTGTAATTAGATAGATGAGTAAACAAACTCAAAAGTTAAAACAACTTAAACCAGAGATATTATGCAAAAAAACCAATCAATTAAAGTAGAAAATTAGCATATGTACAAGAATTGATAGATCAAATGTGAAGAGAGAAAGACAATAGAAGATTGCTCGGCAATTTTTGTTGGTTTGGCCATCACTGGTTTTACACATTGAGATTTCCACTAGTCTTTTAAGATTCATGTACTCTAAGGGCATGTTTGGTGTATAGTATACGATAAAGCTAGATAGTATAAGACTTAATAATATAAGGTAAGATAGTATAAGACCTGATTAAATTTTAGTACTATCTAGCGTTTGACATGATATTATATAAGATAATGTATTGTATAAGATAATATCATCAAGTATTTGGTAATGCACTATATAATATTAGATAGGACAAAAATAAATATTTTTAACAAAAATACCATTTAATGAAGAATTTATATAATTCTTCTAAATATGTCATATGATATTAATTTTTATAAAAATCTATTGATCAGTGTGTCCAAAACTTATATTAATTTTTATAAAAATAAGAATCTCCAATATTTTAAAAAATTAATATATTAAAAAAAAAAATTTTACTTTAATATATTAATATTGAAATAATATATTAATTTGTGAGAATTGCATTGATCATCAAATTAATATATCAACCTCTTATCAGGTCTAATCCCACAGCCCTTAGGCCTGGTTAAGTTATACATCGTTTTGATATATTAAGGAGGGTTCTGTTCTATGAATTTATATTATACGATGTTCATACCAAATAACTAAAATTGTCTATCATGATATATATATAGTATAAGCTTATACTATATATCATACCAAATATGCCTTCACGAAAAGCTTTGTTCAATCCAACGGTGTCCTAGACAGCCCAGAACACTTTAGGTCAAAATGTGGAAGCTTTCTAGGATTTGAAGAGATTCTTACATACAAATCTTACATTTTGTGTTTTACAGCCGGTGGCGGAGATGTCATAAATCTGATAGTACATATTTAATTTTTGTGTCATGTATCATATTATAGTATAATTGGTTGGGTGCATCACACCGGCACTGTATCCGAATTTCACCACCATTAACTTTACCTCTAGGTTGACCAGTGTTTGTCCGAGAACAATTTCTGGCTGTATAACATAGAAAGTTCAACTCATTACTGTTTTGGATATACTATAGACTTCAATCAAATTTTGAAAGCCCTTCTTTTCTTTCACAAATTTTTAAGCAAAAACTGCTTTCAAAATCATAGAGTTCAATATTTTGAGTTTTATCTATGAATCTACATTAAAGAATCAAATTCCCAAGATATGGCACTTGAAGATTGTGAACTTCAACTTATTTATCCTTAATTTCCGTGTCTTGAATAGTTTCTCCTGCTTTGTACACCACTATATTCTCTTGGTTTTTGAAGTGATTGAATTGCACTAAGATTTGACAAATTGTTCTAGCTCATTCTATTTCTAAAGATTAAAAGTATTAGATGCCATGTATATGGCAGGAGAAGAAGAACCATTTCATCTACAGTCCAACCCAAAAGATGCCAGTATGTCACCAATAATGTAAATGCAAAACTCGTGGCCTAATTAAACTAATCATATCAGAGTCAGATTATAAATCAACCTATAAATTTTTTTGCCAGCCCTTCAATCGAATCTCCTTCTATTGAACAGGATCAGTCAAAAGAAAACAAAATGAAGAGCATAAATATTAAACTACTATCAAAACTGGTTGCTTAAAGTGTTTGATGTGACTGCAGAATTTAATCTTGCTTTCTTACCACTTATTCTGAAATCTGTAGCATTGCAACCATAACTTTTTCTGCCAAATAAAAAACTTGAGGAAGGGAGGGCATAACTCTGCCCCCTCAGAGCTGAGGAATAGAATTGCATTGCTGAAATGAAGACTTGTGATGAATGGAAACCTTTTATTGTAATGATAGCAATTGATTTTTCTTTTGCTGCTGTGAATATTCTTCTCAAGAAAGTCCTTGAAGAAGGAATGAACCATTTGGTTTTTATCACGTACAGGCTGTCAATTGCTACCATTTTCATAGCCCCAATCGGCTACTTTTGGGAAAGGTAGGCACCCTCAATTCTCTGATTAGTAGTATTCTTTTCTTTTCTTTTTGTGTAGTCTTAGATATTGTTAAACAAGAAGATAGACCAAATTGCAATTATTAATGATTTTGAACTCACCCACTTGAAACTCCAATTTGTTTGTCCTAGCCTCAAATATGTTAAGCTAATAATCAGTCATTACTCTTGATCTTGAAGACGAATGCTCCAATGAATCCATGTATACCTGAAGGGAAATTAGAGATCTCACAATTATGACCATATTTTTATTGCAGAAATAGCAGACCCCGGCTCACATTTCGAATTTTATGTTACCTCTTCTTCAGTGCCATTGTTGGGTTAGTCATAAAAATACCAAGTCTTTGTTTGTTATTCAATTTCTCACTAGCACTTTTTTACTTCCAAATTATCTGTTTTGTGGTTAACATAATTGTTGGGTAACACTCAAAAGTTATTTTCTTTGTAGGACATCAGTCACTCAATACTTTTTCCTTCTGGGAATCCAATACACCTCTGCTACCTTTGCTTGTGCTTTTGTAAATATTGTGCCTGTTTTCACATTCATAATGGCATTGCCATTTGGGTATGAATCAAAGCTTATGTTATTCCTATATACTTTGTAGTGAACAACCATCCCAGAATGCAGGATAACTCTTTACTTGGTTCTACTTCAGGTTAGAGACTGTGAACATCAAATGCAAAAGTGGGAGAGCGAAGATTCTTGGTACATTGGTGTGCATAGGTGGCGCATTGATGTTGACACTTTACAAAGGAAAGCCACTGTTTAATTTTTCTCACTATCAGTCTGAAGTGAAGCTAGCTTCTATAAGGACAACAAAGAGATGGACCATTGGTGTAATAGCATTGATTTTAGGAACCCTCTTTTGGTCTTCTTGGTTTATTTTACAATCAAATATAAGCAAGAGATACCCATGTCAGTATTCTAGCACAGCCATCATGACCTTCTTTGGTGCCATTCAATCAGCTGTCATTTGCTTGTGCACTGACCACAACTTGTCCATATGGGTTCTCAAGGGAAAGATACAAATAATTGCTATTCTTTATGCTGTAAGTTCACTTTTTTTAAGTCATGAGAGAGAATTAAGGTTTGGCATGAGATTTGGAAAAAGGGTGCCAATTTCTTAGGCTGCCTGAGCCTGTTTCCTGATTTGGGTTATTTGTTAAAAAAAAGAAAAAAAGAAAAAGAAAAAATGAATCTAGTAAAGACAATAATGTATGGGGTTGAAAGCTTCTTGATTCATTTATTAGGCTTGTTTAGATATATAAAATCATTAATATAACTTCTTTCAAAAGATTAAATAACTTAGGGCTAGTGGCAAAAACCATCGCGTTTTATGCAAGGAAGGGGATTAGTCTCGTCCAAATAAGTGGGGAAAAGTTATTTTGAATGGAATGTATTTTATGACTTAGTTAACAAAGTGAAACATTGTGTTTACAGGGGATGATTGGATCGGGTTTGTGTTTTGTGGGCATGTCATGGTGTGTTAAGAAGAGGGGTCCTGTCTTTACTGCAGCATTTAGCCCTCTTGTTCAGATAATGGCAGCCATGATTGATATCCCTGTCTTGCATGAGCAGCTCCATCTTGGAAGGTGATTTTCTTTCACCAGTTTTTTTTGTCCTATTATTCTTACACCTTTTTTCTTCTACTAGTTACTGATATGTTAGAACCTACTAAAGTTATTTATTATTCGAGATAACAACAATCGCTAAGTAAGCTTTTTAGACTATAAATAAGTAAGCAGAAAAAGTAGAAGTTAAGAAGGAAATGAAAAGCCAACCTTTATCTGATTTTCTTTTTCTTTATTTCTTTTTTTCAATTGAACTGGCTGTTTAGTGTGATGGGATCCATCTTGGTGATGATTGGATTATACATTCTTCTATGGGGTAAGAGAAGGGAGATGCAGAATCGTGTGATCAAGTTAGTCCAAGAAGCTGAAGAAGAAATCAAGGAACAAGAGCCGCAAATAGAACACTTGACCGTGTCTTGTGATTCTCGGTGTCACTGAAAAACAAGTCTCACTTATGTGTATGTTCATGCGTTGCCAAAAACTTTATTCTAGTCAAAGTTTGTATTTACTCAAACAATACTTCACAAAATGTATAATAAGGTTATGGTTTGGTCCATCTTCCTACTCGTAGACAAAAGAAGAAGCACGTACAGGTCACATACTAATGATTTCAAAGGTAAAGGGACAAGGAACTTAGTTACTTAGGGATATGCCATTATCCTCCAATGTAGTTTTTATTTTACGACCCTATTATATGTTTAGTTGATTATTTTTATATAGTAAATCACATTTCTTTATAATTCCTATAATTATTTTAAATTTTTGCATAAATTATAAAATCCTAACTATGAGATTTATATAATGTTAAAATATTTTATATAAATATGATTTTATATATAAATAAATTATAAAAAAAAATAAGAATCATTTCGTTAAGTTGTTGTTGTTGTTTAAAATTAATGATATTTGATTTAAAAATTACGGTGATAAATAACTATAATTTAACGGTTAGATAAATAAAAATGACTTTATATATAAAATTATTAAATGATATAAACATGTTAAATTTTATAATGATATAATTCTATCTCTACTCATTCGTATACATACATATATTGTCTTTGTTATTCAAATTAGATTTCTTACTTGACGCTAAATGATTTGGCATGCAATTTATCCATGCCAATTGAACATGAGATTTACTCTCACTTGATCACATCACTAATAACGAATATAACTACATACTTTTAAATCATTTAGACTAGTCCCAAGCGGCAGTACACGTTGATCTGTTAATGAGCGTCGGTAGTTAAATCTGTAAAAAAAAAATTAAAAATCATAGAGACTAATTAAAAATCAAGGAAATTAGGGTTGGTATAAAAAAAAATAAAAAAAAAATCAAGGAAATTAAACCAAAGTTGTAAATAACTTGTTGGGCTCTCGTTTGAATATGGGCAAGTATCCGAAGCCCAACTCGAACAGGAAAGGGTAAAACGGTAAAAACAAAATTCTCAAATTGGTTGCCCACAGTTGAAAACGGCGCGTTTTAGTTGTTGGGAAGGGAAAAACGCGAGTGACTAGTACGGCGCACTCCTAGCACCGTCGGCGACGGCGGCAGTAAAAGCGGGAGACGGCGATCTCCTTCAGTCCTTCGGTTGCTCTCTTTTTTGGCAGTGTTCAATCGTCACTTAGGTTATTTTAATTCGCTTGTTTCTAGAAACTTCGCATCTTACTTACTTTTCGATTCAGATTCAATGGATTCTGATAAATTCAATTATATAAGGTGTTCCGTTGATTTTGATTTTGATTTGATAGATAAATGTTGGTTGATAGAAGAAGAAGAAGAAAAAGAGTTGTATTTGTAGGATGAGCCAGCCAACAGTGATACTTGCCACTGCCAGCTATGATCACACCATTCGTTTTTGGGAGGCCAAGAGTGGCCGCTGCTACCGCACCATCCAATATCCTGATTCGGTTCGGTTTTCTTCCCTTTTTCATATTTAGTTTTGCAACTATTCAAAAACAAGGTCATATTTGAAACTCTAGATAGTCAGACACGTGCTTTCTATGAAATTTGAGGACAAAAGTTACATTTGCATAAACTTTCTGTTGTTCCTTTTTTAAGTTTAAAAAGGAATTGAAGCTGAAATACTAAGCCTATATGTTTTGGTCTTAAAATTATGAATTATGATATGCTTAAAAGTCAGCTGTTTCAGTGTTTCTGCATATGCCTATTGTTAGATTTTGGTTGCTACTAATTTATCAAATAGAATGACTTTCTGGTGTTTTTAGTTTCCATAACTTGGTAGGTACTAATTTTGCCTCATCTAATTTATGTAGCAAGTAAACCGGCTGGAGATAACCCCGGATAAACGCTACCTGGCTGCAGCTGGTAATCCTCACATACGATTGTTTGATGTTAACTCAAATAGCCCTCAACCGGTATGTCTTGTCAACTCTTACACTTCAAAAAATCTTTTTTTTCTGGTTTCAAGTATTTTCTGTTCCTGAATGTGTGGCAGGTTATGAGCTATGATTCACATACCAATAATGTAATGGCAGTTGGGTTCCAATGTGATGGTAATTGGATGTATTCTGGTTCAGAGGATGGCACAGTTAAGATCTGGGATTTGAGGTAACGCATATGTCGCAGTGCATAATAATTTTGTAATGTGATTTAAACCCTTGAAGTTTTTATAGAAATAGTCTTTGCTTATTTGTTGATAAAAATGCAGGGCGCCAGGTTGTCAAAGAGAATATGAAAGTCGTGCAGCAGTAAACACTGTTGTGCTGCACCCAAATCAGGTTACATTTCACTGTTTTCTTATGGCTGTACTATTTATCCCTGGCTTATGATTACATTTGACATTAAAATGGTATTAAGAAGTTAGAACTTAGAAGAGATAGGAAGTAATAACAATAAGTAATGCATGAATCATCATAGTAACTAGGGCTGAATTGGTCTTACAGCATACCGGCTATTAGCTTTACGTTTTTTATTTTAATTATCTTTTTGGCCCTTTATGGAGCTCATTTAACTATTGGTTTATTGATTGATGTTTAATCTGGATTCTGACATACCCTGATATCAAGAGCATGTTTCTGTTTCGTTACATTTCAGTTGAAGCATGTGTCCTTGATGTTCATTCTTCATTCACTGTGGTTCCTTAGTTTTTGCTATATCCAGATACATCAGATAACAGTTCTTTTAAGCTCTTGCTGATTTTTTTTTGTCATCCAACAGACTGAGCTAATATCTGGTGACCAAAATGGCAATATTCGTGTGTGGGATTTGACAGCAAATTCGTGCAGTTGTGAATTGGTATGAATTATGACCTCTTTTATTTTTATATGGATATCACTGTAGAAAGAAGATTCTAAATGTCTTCTATCCAAAAAAAAAAAAATTTGAAAGAATGAAATGCTTAAATTATAAGCATTGTAGTTGTAACTCTGTAGGCATACATCTTGCAAACACATCCTCTTTTCTCTTAGACCTCCCACATGTACTCTAATATTCACTCAATTTCTGGCTCAACCCCAGGGCTCTTTTTGCACTAGTTAACTGGTGTAGAAGCTTTTTGTTATTTATGCCCTTTGGATAAATGTCATTCCCCAATTCCCTTGTGCTTAGGTTGATAATCTCAAGAATCGGTGCATCTCATTATGTCCTCTCTTTTCTCTCTCACCCTCTGACAAAAAATTATGGATGAAACATTATTTTCAATCTCTGGAAAAAATGTAGGTGCCAGAGGTGGATACAGCTGTACGCTCTTTAACAGTAATGTGGGATGGGAGCTTAGTAGTTGCAGCAAATAATCATGGAACATGTTACGTGTGGCGTCTGTTGCAAGGGACTCAGGTTGTGCCTTCACAAAAATATCACATTGATGTTACTTTCATATCAAACTTTACTTATTTTTCCTAGTGGGTATGTCTTCGTGCAGACAATGACAAACTTTGAGCCGCTTCATAAGCTGCAAGCACACAAGGACTCCTACATCCTCAAATGTCTTTTATCACCCGAGTTCTGTGAACCGCACAGGTGACAAATATCATGCTCATATTTTGTCTTCTTATTTTATTCCTTACCACTCTAATTAAACCCAGACATAGCAAAGGTTGTAGTGATGTGAACAGGTTAGAGATTCAGCTAGTGGGTGATCGGTTGATCAGATGTGTTAATTAAAACAAAAATAGAATTGTAAAACTTATACAATTATGGCTCAAAGGCTAAGGGTCTGTTTGGAAAAACTGAAATCTTAGCACTGGAAAATTTTAGTGATGAAAAATTAAGCCTTGAATTTATATTTTATGAAGATATTTCTTCTAAGTGTTGAAATTTCATTAAATAAAATGAAAGGATGCTAGTTACATTTAATGATTTAATTAAGCAAACGATTTGGGACGAATACAAGCAGTGAATTCTCATGTGCTGAACGTTTCCAGAACATTTTCACTTATTTTAATGTTCTTAATGCATTAAGCAAACTCCACTTAAAAAATTTCAGAGCTGAATCTTCTCATTTTCGGCACTTTATTGAGTTTCCAAACAAGCCCTAAGTAAGTATATCTAGTGTTACTAGTGTTAGTATATTATGATATGTATTCTAATATGCTAAAACTTTTTTTTTTTTTTTAAATTTTACTTGGGAATTATATAGATTCTTACCTGTGAATGCAAACAACTACAAAATGTAGAAACATAAAAACCTAAAATGTCTACTTAATTGGTTTTATTTGAAGTTGGGCATGAGTTCTTTCAATACACGTGTGCACACATGCTCGTAGATGCACATGATATGTTGATCAATATAAGCTTTGGGAGACTGTGTCCCCCTCAATCAAATTTCTTCTCCTGTTTGCTTATTTTCCAGTGTCATATTTATGGTCCGTTGCCATGACACTGAGCTGCACTTTACTTGCTTTTTTAATGTGGTTTTATAATATTTAAATTCCAATACTTGTTTGAGTTTGCACTTGGCAATATTCAAGTTGCAGAGCACAGTTTAAATTGAAAGCATCAAACATTTAATAGAGTACCTGCCTCGTTCTTTAAAATTCATTTTAAACTGTTTGACTGGATAGCTGTCTCTAGGTATAAGCATTTCTGGTAATTTATCAACGGCACCCAGACTGGTTAAGGGACCAATTTAGCATTCCAGGCCTGATAATATCACTGTCTTTAAACTATTGATATACCTCGTAGCTTCTGTAAGATGTTAATATTCCTTTGTTGGTGTTGTCCTTTCTAGGTACTTGGCAACTGCATCGTCTGATCATACTGTCAAGATATGGAATGTTGATGGTTTTACACTAGAGAAGACTCTGAAAGGTAATTCATGAAGTCATGTGATAATCTAGTGCTTTCTCACTAGTCATTCCCTTCCACTTCCCCCGAAACTTCGTTTCCCCTAATTATAGTTGGCTGTGCCTCCCAGGTCATCAGCGCTGGGTGTGGGATTGTGTCTTTTCTGTGGACGGTGCCTACCTTATTACAGGTACTAACTTAGTAAATTATTAATATTTGTTCAGTTATCAGCATTAAGCAACCATATATATAAATAAGAGTTTAAGTGTGATGTGTTGTTATATGAAATTTTACACTATCATTCTATGATATAATTGACACATCAACATCAACAGCACCTTTAACCCAAGTTAATTGAGGTATAATTGACACATAATTAAAATATTTAGACTTTCTAGGTAGTAGTTGTGGTAGTCGAACTACTTTAATAATTTAACAATACATGATTGAATAATAGTGTAAAAAAGTTTAATACTGGAAGTGCATCAAAATTATATCCTATAAATAAATACGGACTATTTATGGCTTTAATGAAAACTGATGGAAGGCTTTTATCATGTATTTGTTACTCGGAAACAGGCTCATATGCATTGGCCAGAATTGGAGCCTTCAATTCACAGGAAATATTGATTTAAGTGCAGCTAAGGTCACAGAAATGACTGATTCAACAAACCATAATTTTCTATAGGTTTAGATGGCTGACTGATCTTACATTTATTTTTTTACCAATTGCTAAGCTTAATTACTTGTCTATCTTTAAAGAAAGGGGAATATGTTTCTCAGGTTATATACGACAATTGTTTGATGCACATCCAAAAAAGTGAATGGAACCCACTAAGAATAAGTGAGAGAAATAAAAAAAAGTTGGTCCCACCTACTTTTTTATATGTGCATTTGTCTCGTGCACCATGAGAAATGTATTTCCCTTAAGAAAATTTAAGTATCTCATGGATTAAATAAAATCAAAACAAAACATAACTAATTTAGTCTTCCAGATTTAATTAATATCAGACAAATTCTGGTGCAATCTTGGATAACAAATTTAAATTGTCTGGGAAACAGTTATTTATATGTGATTTTAGTGGAGAGATTAAGGTAAAATCAAAATATAATTATGTACAACAGTTTATTGTATATATGTATAAAATTTATAATTGTTCTCCTTTGTGACTTTTTCAGGGACCTATATATAAGGTTGTTAGAAATATTGAAAATAGGTGGTTAAGAAGTCCCAAGTTGTTATGTTAGTATTATGTAATTGTTGTAGTTGCTCTATATAATAGAGCATCCACTATGCTATTGTAACACATGGATTTAAACATTTATGTCTGTTTTCCGTGGTATTCAACATGGTATCAAACGAGTGCCATCCTCCGTGACGTTACCCATTGCTTCGGATACCCAGTTCCCTAAAATTCAAAACTCTTCATTAATTACCTTTTTTGCCGACCTCTCATCAGTTTCTTTCGTTGCAACTCAAGCAACTGTCCTCTCTTTGTCGTGATGTTCCTCTGGGCCATTGTCCCAGTCATTGGCTACTTTTTCGGTGAGTTTTTGGCGGTCCTCCAACCATTTAGACCGCCATCTCACAACGGTCCTTCTTGTCCAACACCCATGGGCAACCTTATATCGACGTGTCTCCACATGCCATCTTTATCCGCAGGAGCTTAAGTGCATTTCTAGCGTTTGAGCCATTGTCCAATTGGTTTTTTCTACCGTACTACAAACCCCTTTTACCTGGATTTGGTGTTTTCAGGTTGTGGGTCCACCGTTTGAGCTTTTTCTGGCAAGTCCACCAACTTTTCCAGTGACAGGTAAATTTTCTGGTGAGATTTTCCGCCTGTGATCGGCAGATCTACATCACGCCCTTGTGAAGACTTTTTCCTTCCGAGCGCTATTGTTCATGCACATTTTTCTTTTCTTGTTCAATATGACCCATGGCCAATTCTAATTCCTATGTACCCATTCTCAACAATTATGTCAATGTTCCACTTTGTACGGAGAAAGTTAGATGCCCACACTCTTCTCTGGTCAGATATGGCCCTTCGTGTCGATGTTTATCTCTTCTCCAATCCCAACATAGGATTGACGGGTAGAAATTTGGAAACTGCAAGCTAGTCCTGTCGGATTATCCCCGTTAGTTGTTGCCTGGCCCAGTCGGACTTTGTCCTACATGTATTTTGGTTGGATCTCCTAAGTTTTCATGTGGTTGAAACTTCTAAATGCTATTCTTGATGAACTTGAAGAAGTTTTAGTTCTTTCAGCAAAGTCAATTCTTCCTTGTTTATGCAATTCAACCAGCTCTTATGGTCATTCCAGTCACCTTGCTAAATTGCCTTCCTAGCCATTTTTAGTGAGTTTTAGCATCCCTGAGTTAACTTCGCAACCTTATTTTGTGATGTAATTGTTATAGCCATTATGATTTAATTGTTATATTCGCTCTATATAATATATCATCCACTGTTATTGTAAAAAAAATTATATAAATGAGAAAAAATACAGAAATAAAGCATTAAAGCATTACATGGGAATTGTAAAAGTAAAAACATTGGTGGTGACAGTACATTTAAGTGACCGGCACAAACTGGTTTTACTATTTTTGTTGTTGTAGTTTATTAGTGAGCTGTAATTTAAAAAATTAAATAAATAACATTTTCCTCCATCTCATTCTCCTATTTTTTCCACCATCTCCTGCAAAAATTAAATAAAAAATTAGTCCTTGAAATTTCAATTGTGAATTTGGGCAGTCTACAATTATTGTTCTTGGTAGTCAAGTAAACTGATATGATCTTAGAGTTTATCAAGTATTGTTTCATGTAAAAAAAATTGTAAACCAATATATTTGCTGTTGCAGCTTCGTCTGATACAACCGCTAGGCTTTGGTCTATGTCAACTGGTGAAGATATTAGGGTTTACCAAGGGCATCATAAAGCTACAATTTGCTGTGCCCTACACGATGGGGCTGAACCCGCAACTTCCTGACATAATGGTCATAAAGTTATTCTCCGTCAGATATATCTGTTTTGTAAATAATTATCTGCTTCTTTGGTTTGTGAAGTTTACTCCAGTTCGTAGACGACATGCATTTGTTGTCAATAACTCTTTAACACTGTAAATCCTCATAGGGGATGAAAAACATTATCGGGAGTAATCTGAATTGTAAATTAAGAATATCTTTAATATTATTTGTGGGTAATTTCTCAACTAGAGTAATCTTATCAAATAGTGGATCGAAACACACAAGAATTAATATTTCATATAACAGTGCATCATTTTTAATTTATAACACATTTTGGTGTGTAAACCTATCAAGGTTTTGGTTTGATCTTTGATTTGTGTGCCAGGTTAGTATCCATATAATCCAAAGTTTTGTTTGGGAGTTTAGAGGGAAAGAAAAGAAAGAGAATCTAAGGGAGAGGGAGGGGAATGAAGGGAAAGGAAATGAATATGGTAAGGGGAAAAAAAAGTAAAGAGTTAATGAAATATTTTTATAATTTTACTTTTTAAAAAAAATTAATATAGTTATTATATTTTACAAATGAAATTAAATTTAAATTTTTTAAAAAATTATTATGTATTTTTTACACTATTGCAAAGTTCAACGAAATTTATTTTCTATCTAAAGTTTTGTCAAAATGATTTCTTAAATATTTTTTGCAGAAAAAATTCCATCAAAGATTTTGACGGAAAAATAATCTGTTATAAATTATCGACGAAAAAAATAATTTTATTGAAAAGTTTTGACCAAAATTTTTTTTCCCACAAATCGACGAAAATATTTTCCATCAGAATCTTTGACATAAATGTTTTCTGTCGAAAATTTCGACAGAAATGTTTCTATCAAAACTTTCGACAAAATTTATATTTTGTCAAAAATTTTGATAGAATTTTTTTTTCGTCAAAAATTTCTGTAATTGATTATGACTAAATTTTGTTTCATCTCTTTCGATAAAATTTAGATTCTGTCAACAATTTTGACGAAATTTTTTGCAGGCGAAATATTCTGTTAGTGATTATGACCAAATCTTGTTCCCTCTCTAATTCCATCTCAAATTTCGACGAAATATTATTTATATTCTGTCAAAAAATTTGTCACTATTTTCGACGGAATATTTTTCATCTATAAATTCTGTTGGTATTCGGGACTTTTTTAGTAGTGTCACATTTATGTAGTTTTCACATTTTAATGTTAAGGCCAAATAAGTAATTTTTAATATTTTCTCCCTCAAATCCCCCCAAATTATGGGAACCTTGATTTTAAGGGTGGGAAGGATTTTAGAGGATTTTACAAAAATCTTTAATTCTCTTTGCACCTTTAAGGCTTGTTTGGGAGTCACTTTTAGGAGAGAAATAAAAGAAGAGGGGGATTTTATTATATCTTCTTCTTATTTGTGAGTTTAAAAAAATGGGACGTAAATAATCTTAGTTTTGTAATGTGGAATGTTAACTAATTGACTTGTGTTATTTCCCTTATAAAATTCTTAGCTTTGTAATGTAAAAATTCATTTGTAAAGTTTGTGCTGCGAGATAATTTTACCTTTTCCAAATGGGGTCTGTAAAAAGAAGTGATAGAAAAAGAAAAAAAAAATAGATCTCATTCAGCTTTATGTAATCGTGAGAGATAAAATAATTTCTGTAAACATGTGCTCTTTTCTTTTTTAAGAATACAGAAAACTTTGAATTGCTAGACTTGAATACAGATGTAATTCAGTACTTACACAAGAGTGGAAGTTGATAGAGGACCAACATCCTCTCTTTATACCAAACGATGATAACTCAGTTGGTGTTAAGGAACTGAGTACGTGGGAGTGAGAGCATATATTAAAAACTCTCAATATTGTTTTTAGGAGTGGTTTAAAGTTTTAATCTCGGGACCTGTCCCGAGTCAGACTAACTACGAAGTGATAAACTGATTGGAATATCTCCGGAAAAAAAATCCTCTCATTGTTTTTCCTCTCTCCCTCGTTTACATTTTTCCTTGAACTTTTTTTCCCCTAATTATTAATAACTTAACCTTTCCATATTATTAAAAATAACTTAAGCATAATTGTTTGTATTTGTAGCTAATCGATTACACTCAACAGAGTAATTTAATCACCCCAATTTAACTTAAAAGTAATATTACTTAATAATTAGAGGAGGGTTATATTGATGAATTTTTTTTTTATAAACTTATAAATTACACTATGTTTTAACTTCATTCAAGAATGTCTAACTAGTAAGGCATAGTATAATTTGTAATCAAATTTTTTGTAAATATAATATTTCCCTAATAATTATTCAATAACATGAGTTATGATAATCTACCAACTGAATATGAAATGTTTTTATTTCTTTTTGGATACAATGGTGAGACTAAGCTCGAATTTGTGATCTCATGTAAACTATTTAAATCCTTCACCACTATTCCAATTCTAGATACTTAACATATTTTTATTTCAAAATACTAAAGTTTCCTTAGAAACTTTTACATTATTGAACATGCAAAAGCGTTTTCATCACTGAAGATTTGACAGGGGTAAAGATATTCTGTTGAGTATTGAGGAGGATAACTAAACATAATTATATGTTCCGGGCAATTCTCATTGCTTTCCACTTCGTCTTCCTTTATAATCTCCGCATGCTTTCCCAGTTTCTTATTCACATATTTCACAAGTTTTGTTGGTTCCACTTCTCCTCTGACAATGACATGCGAATGCGATGTTTCCTCGCTCACTTCCACAGAGACAACACCTATATCACACGTTAACAAAGTAGACACTAAAGACATTATTTTGGTAATATAATCAATCATTTATATGCTAGCTATGGTCTTTAAAGACCTCTATTTATTATTTTGTTTTTTTTTTTCAGTTTTTTTTTTAAATAAAGTTAACATTCACTAAAAAAAATGTTACGAAATTTTATTTCAGCCTTATAAGATTAATTTAACGTTATGGAATGTCGATATTAAAAAGGAAAATACTCATATAGCTAAAAACAAGAATATTGTACCTTTCATTTTCTCAATTTTTCTCTTGACATCATTTGCACAGCCTTCGCAATGTATATACATCTTGAGCACCACAGTTTTTACTTCAGCCTGCTTACAATAATCAAAAATAAAAATCAACAAGAACATGAGAGAGAGCATTAATAATAATTAAAAAGAAGGAAACTTTGAATTTAGACCTGCTCCTTTTCTTCTGGGTCTTTCTGTTTGTTGTCTGGCTTTGGTTTTGGTGCAATCAGTTGGACATGTTTGCTGTAGTTCTTTCGAAGTCTTTCCAAAACCTTCAATGGATCATTCACCACTTCTCCTTTCACAATGATCTTGTGATTTTCTTTATCAACCGCAACACGCTCCACTCCTAGTCATTGTACATGACATCTAATTTGATTAATTACATTATACGAATATATTATACAAGCATTTATCCATAATAAAGAGCTAAAGTAAACAAAATATTACCATCAAAACCTTTCAAGCACTCGTAAATTTTGTCTGCACAACCTTCACAATGTATGAATGCTTTCAACACCACAGCCTTCTCCTTTTTGCAAATGAAGAAAATAAAATTGACAATGTCAAATATGTAATTTGCTAAATAGAACTGGTAAAGATTTTTTCATCGATTTCAAGGACTTGAAAACAAATCGTATAACGCATACAGATGAAGACATATAGGTAACTTAATTCATACTTGAATAATAGAATGCAAGTAATGTATCCAATAAAAAAGAAAAGAATGCAAAAAATAAGATTGGCAGTCATTTTCCTTACATTCTCTCCCATTGCTCAACCTCAACTAAGGTGGAATGGTAGCATTTCTTGGGACCTTAAGTTATTGATATATATATATACAATTCATATTATAGCTAATAAGGTTTACATATTTATTGTCACGACATATATATAGAAACACATGTGTACATATAGGTTAGATTTGGAATAACATGGAATTTGCAAAACTCACAATTAAATCTCTACATTAATACTTTAATATTCAATCGTAACAAATCCAAGTTTTTAATACAGTCATAGTACATATAGGTTAGATTTGGTAAATTGGAAAGAAGAATAAGACAGTAAAAAATTGAAAATAAATTATGGAGATTTCCTGATATATATCATAATATTTTACGAAACTGAGCTTGTGCATAATTAGGAAAGTTATAACAATATGCATACCTCCTAATAATTTTTTAATTTTTTGGTATCTTTGCCTCCTCATTATTTTATTATAATTACTTTTTGTCTATATGTGTCTAGCTATATTTTTGTTATGAATTTTCCACCTTAAAATGTTAAATTTCTAACGGTACTGGAGATTTCTATAGGTCGACAGATCTGGTAAATTTTAAAGAAGAATTAAGTCAATAAAAAACCCAAAATAAATTATGATTTATATGTATCATATACTATTTTACGAAACTGAATTTGTACATAAGAAGGTAAGTTCTAACAATATGAATGCCATGACATTATTTTTTTATTGTTATCTTTTGTGCCTGAGTTTAGCTATTTTTTTATTATGAATGTTCCACTTACAAAGTTTAATTTTTAATGGAATTTATTTAAAAATCTAGAAGTTTTAATGTAGTAATAATACATAAAGGATAGATTTAGTAAATTTTAAAGAAGAATTAAGAAAATAAAAAACCGAAATAAATTTTGGAGATTTCCTGATATATTGTATGAGTTGTAAAGAAGTACTACATTGGTTAGACATAGACCAAGTGTCTCACACTTGAGGGGAAGATGTTGGAAGTATTCAAGTATGAGTTGTAAAGAAGTACCACATTGGCTAGACATAGACCAAGTGATGACCATATAAATGCAAAAGACCCATAAACTTAGAGCCTTAAGGTTTTGGGTTAAAATGTGGTGTCGGCTCACTTATTGTGATTTCTCATTTGGCTCATTGGTGAATAAATCCTTTGCAAAGGTTTTGGGCTCCCTCTTACCATTCCTAACATATTTTACTTAACTGAACTTGTTCACAATTAGGAAAGTCTAACAAGATGTATACCTCCTTATTATTATTATGGTCTTTTGTCTATGTCTCTTGCTATTTTTTATTATGAATTTTTCACTTAAAAAGTTAAAATTTATTTTTTTTGGTACATAATTTTTTTTTTTAAATTTTAGTCTCGCATTAATGTCTGTGAAAGACCAGAAATAATAGAGATATAAAAATTAAATTATAACTGATGAAATTAAAGTAAATACTACTTTGACAATTTTTTATTGAAGAGTATGTAAATCAAATTTTATATAATAACTTATCATGTTATCTATGAATAGACAAAATAAATCATGATCCTGTACAATTTTTAACATTTCATTCTGCTCACAGTAACAACGAATTCATATATATATATATATATATATATTTGGTAATAGAATTCATATATCTTTAAAAAGTGATGCAGAAGTCATTATGATTGATCTAGTGGTGAGAGATTTAGATAAATTATATTAGATTATGTGTTCAATTTCATTTGTATCCATACAAAAAAAAGTGATGCACTGGAATTTAAATAATAAAGTCAGTTATGCATGAAGTCTATTGTATTTCAAATTTAAAAGTACATAATTCTATAATCAATAAAATGAACATGGCAGAAAAAAACGTTATGTATAAAAATATATATATATATATATATGTGTGTGTGTGTTGGGGGGTATTTGTCCTTTCAAAGGACATAGAGTTATGTCATTTTAAGTGAAAAAAATATACAAATTAATATTTTTATTTAAAATTTAAATTAGAAAAAATATCCACTTTCTTTCCCATAATTTTCTTTATTTGTGTTTTTTTCTCATTTAAAATAATACAATTCTATATCTTTTAATAGGACAAACATCAATAGAGTAAGACTTTTAAGTCTGACTCCTCATCTTAGCCATTGATAAACGAAAATCAACGATTGTCATTTGTAATGTAATTAATAATTAATTAATTAATATGACTTCCTAAACTATAATCGTTGGACTGACGGAAATCAAGGTTGAGATGAGGAGTAAGACTTAAAAATTTTACCCTGAAGTCAAATGATCTCTCTCCATATATATATATATATATATATATATATATATATATATATATATATATATATATATATATATAATATTTTCAACTAGAGGTATGCAAATTGATTAATAGAAGGAATATAGTAAAAACGGGGAATGTATCGTATATGGATCTGGATACTCTTATGTGAAAAAAAAAAACATGACATGGTCATGTGGAAAATCATAACCATACAAAGGTGGATTAATGATAGAAAAGGAAGAGATGGAGAGAGAAAATATTATAATAGGTAGTTATAAAATCATAACCGTTGATTTACCTTTCTATAGTTGTAATCTTTTCACATGATCATGTCATATTTTTTTGAAGATCTATTTCTATCATATATATATATATATATATATATATGAGAATATCTCGCATCATTAAAGTTATTCATAAATAAATAATTAAGGGTGATGAGAGAGAGTTATAATAAAGAATAAGAAAATAATAACGGTTGATTTGTTGATAAATATTTAATATTATGATACATCATGACCTCATATAGTATTATGCATTATAAACATAAACTGTTACATCATTCCGTTACCCAAAAGGGTAAAGAAAATTAATAGCAATATCAACACCAAAATGGTTAAAAGGTAATTAGGTGTGCGGGTGTATTAGGTGTTTAGGGTGTATTAGGTGTGCGGTTCGATTCCCTGTAATGTCCAAAAAAAAGGTAATAAGTTGTCAAGTAGGTCATCATTCAAATACAATGTTTCCTATATATTTCACACACAAAGGAGAAGAAAGCTTTCATTATTTTTCTTTAATATTCTTTTACATTACTTTTCTTACTTTGTCTGACAATATATTCTTAGAATGGGGATTACAATTTTGCTTATAATTAATAATATATATCTCCGATTTGATTTATGAAAAACCCACTGAGAACTAGCACAAACTCACGGGAAAAAAATAAAATAAAATAAAATAACATACTAGGAAAACAAGGTTATTCAAGCATTTATTCTTTAGCACTCCATGATATATATAACGTTTTGCTCAGAACCTCTATGGATGGAGCTCAATCAGAATGACCAGATTGACGTTCACTTTTGGTAGCTTCTTTCTCTTTGTTTTTTCCCTTCTTCCAATGCTTCTCAGCCTTATAATGAGGAGGCTCAGCGAAATCCGAGATATCCACGTGAACACCAGGATCATTGGCATGGTAACTACCACCAAACATGATTGAGTTATTTACAGCCTGGAAGTTGCTGTTAACGTAAGTGCTCAATGCTTCATCAGGTTCACCATCATGATGAAAACCATTGCCAGCTGATGATTTATCATCCAATAATTCGCTTCTCAGAGTAGCTCCATCATTGTTTCCTGCGAGGGTGATGATCCTCACATCATGTTCATCCTCAATATCATTCTTCTGATCCAAATGGTGTGTGGAGCCTGATTTATGAAAATCACTGACACGATGAGTGATTGCAGATACCATCTCCCTAATTTCTCTATCTAGACTCTTATGCTTCTCGCTTTCACCAGGAGGAGATTGACTTGGCTTCACTGTTTCTGAAGGCATGATTGAATGAAAAAAAATTCTCCTTAATAACACAAGTGTGTGTGTGTGTGTGTGTGTGGTGGTATTTGGGTGTGACCTGAGTTCAATATGAATTATGAGTGTGTATTTATATAAATATATTATGTAGTTAAATTGGCAGGGGAATAAAGTGACTAATGGAATGACTTGAATGGCAATAAAAGGACCTTCAAAAGCTAAAGAAGGATTGAGGATTGCTTCACAATTGGGATTAACTTATGCTAGTGTGACTCTCATGCTTCTTTATGTGAGTGATAATCATTTCTAGGAGACTCACAGAAGAAAATTGAATAAATAATAAATTTGATTATGAATACTTATAATCAACTATAAAAAAAATAACCACTTTACCAGCCCTTCTTAAGAACATATGGTATGTTTGTTGGGAATGGACGGAACCCAAAATCTTTGCAAAGAATTTATTCGTCAATAGACAAAATAAGAAACCATAATAAGTAAGCTAACATCACATCTTAATCCAAAATTTTAAAGTTATAGGTTATGGGTCTTTTATATTTATATGATTCTCAATTGGTCTAAGTCTAGCCTATAATATGAAACTTACTTCATCACTACTCACTCACACTTAATTATTTCAACAATATTGTTTTTTTCTTTAAAGTACGTGGTATGTTGCCTTTAGAAGAAGCCGTATTTGGGAAGGGATAAGATGATGCGGTCCTACCCCATATATTGATTCCCTTACCCTAGCTTCTCACGTACGTAAGAAATTGTGGTTTTTCCCCCTTAAAACCTAAATTAAGGTATTAAAAAAACAGGAAGATAGTATAATTGACGTAAAGTTTTGGGATTGAAAAAAAATACTAAAATTTGATTTAGTTTAAACTTTTAGTAATTTAAAAATAACTTTTTTATATAAAAAATTTAAGTAAGGAAATGTTCATTTTATTTTAAATTTAAAAACATATAATTAATTATAATGATAATTTGGGCAGTTATAACCACTAACGTATATAGCACATGCCCCAAAAACTAGTCCGCAATGGTCAAAATCTAAGTCGTGAAGATTCATTCGATGTGCCTAAAAACTGGAAAAGAAAAAAAAAAATCAATGTGGGATTTTACGAGGAAAAGCGTTGCTTCGTGGCTTTATTTTACTCCCTTTTCTCCATTTCTTCTTCCATTCTCTTCTTTTTTTTCTCCTTATTATCAATTTTCCTTTTTATTTTCTTTTCCTATTTTATCAACTCGATGGTAAAAAATTCTGGACAAAATTAGATGTTCACACCCACCACTCCAACTTTGGCTGCATCATCTCCAAGCCCCTTCCAGATCATGTCATGTTAAATAAAACGTTACATGGAGAAATCACAATTATGTAAAGATAAATCGGTAATGATTTTATAACTATTTATTTTATTATTATTTTTCTTTCTTTCCTTATCACCATTAATTCACCTTTTATATGGTTATAATTTCTTCACATAATCATATTATATTTTATTTAACATGAGAAAATTCACTCTTGATATATGATGACATGGCTGGTTCCTCCCTAGTGTTACATTGGTTTGTTGTTACTAATTTATAAGGTTGGCAAGGATTGGCTCAAAAATAAGCCAGTTGGATTGGCAAAATGAGCTGTCAACCCAGGGGTCAAACGGTCCAGCTCGCAGATTACATTTTTTTTTTATAAAAAAATAAAAAATATGATATACAAAAATGGATAAAACTCACACACGTTGTCATCGTCTTTCTTCTTTCTCTAAACCTAAGTCCCTAATTTTCTATCATCACTATCATTTTTATATTGTTAGGCCATGCTGGCTCTGTTTGGTTCAAACATCTTACCCTCTTGGTAGCAAGTGGTTCTAATTATTTCTCGATGTTGATGCAAATTTGTTGTGAAAAAAATTTGAAAATAGAACATTTTGCTTTTACTTCTCATTTTGTAACTTTCTATTTTGCTTTTTTTATAAATTACTATGTAAGGCAGTTGTATTGTTTAAGCAGATGGAAGTCGCATAGCTGGTGCATTAATACTACAGGTTTATTTAAATAGGCTGAAAACAAGCCAACCCACAAGCCATTTTTGAGTCAACCCGTGAGTCAACTCTAACTCGACTCGAGTCGGGTTGGGTTAAGTTTTTTGGCTCATTTTTTTCCGAGTTAACCCTAACCCTACTCATTTTTTTTGAGTTACATATGAGTTGAGCTGGGTTGATTGCGGTTGGCCATTTTGCCAATCCTACTAATTTATATCTTTCAAGCCCACAGTTAGCGCTTGAGTTTGCGGCGCATTGGATTGGTTTGATTTTACCTTTCATATACTAATTATCAAGTATATAGCTGCTTATTCAATTTGTTTTTATTTATAAAATATTATCAAAATCATCACATTAACAGTGTAATCAATATTAAACGATGCACCCATGATTAATTCATACTAAAATGAGGCTATAATATAAATAATGAAGATTGATTTGCTATGGAGCAACCAAATGAAAGGTTAGTGCAAGATAAAAACTTTACCAACATCATAGTACATATTTTCATTTTTTTTTCCAGTTATAAGGATTGACTCATCATCAATGAGACTTATTATCATAAATCTAATCCTGGAAATGTACATTGCTTTATTAATTTTCTCCTCTTTAACTGAGGTATTTATACAAGTATCATAAAACAGAATTCACTTAAAATTAGATAACAACCTCTAAAAAACTAAACAACTAAACAACTCAATCCTATCCAATTTACATCAATAGCTCAACAACCGAAATTCTCTTAACAAACTAAAATCTATTTTCAACACTCCCCCTCAAGTTGGTGCGTGTATATCTATCATGCCCAACTTGTTAATGGCTTCTTCAAAAACTTTTCCAGAAACAGCTTTAGTCAATACATCAGCAAGTTGTTGTTGAGATCGTACATGAGGAATCTCAATTATATGATTTTCAAGCTTCTCCTTTATAAAATGCCTATCTATCTCAACATGCTTAGTTCTGTCATGCTGAACCGGATTCTTTGCTATTTCTATTGCAGCTTTGTTATCACAGAAAAGATTCATTGGCTGACTATACATAATTCCCAAATCAGCTAATATATTTTTAATCCATAACTGTTCACAGACACCATATGTCATACCTCTGAATTCAGCTTCAGCACTTGATCTAGCCACTACCTTTTGTTTCTTGCTCCTCCATGTAACTAAATTTCCTTCTACAAAGGTGAAATACCCAGAGGTTGATTGTCTTGTAGTCTTATCACCAGCCCAATCTGAATCTGTATAACCTTCAATGCATGGTCTATCATTTTTTGAAAAAAGTAGCCCTTTTCCTGGAGTTCCTTTGAGATATCTAAGAATTCGCTACACAGCTTTCATATGTTCCTCACTAGGAGAATGCATAAATCTGCTTACAATGCTAACAAAATATGCAATATCAGGTCTAGTATGTGACAAATATATCAATTTACCTACCAACCTTTGATATCTGCCTTTATCTGTGTCAACCTGGTTTGGATAGACACCAAGTGAGTGATTCATTTCCATTGGAGTATCTGCTGGCTTGCTGCCCAATAACCCAGTTTCAGAGAGAAGATCCAAGATATACTTTCTTTGAGATAAGAAAATTCCTTGTTTAGATCTTGAAATTTCTATCCCAAGAAAGTATTTCAGTGGGCCAAGATCCTTCATTTCGAATTCAGCAGCTAGATTCTTTTCCAGAGACTTCATTTCTTCTAGATCATCTCCAGTCAGCACCATATCATCTACATAGACAATAAGTATTGCCACCTTTCCTTTGCGATGCTTAATAAATAGAGTATGATCTGAGTTGCTTTGTTGATACCCAAACTTTTTCATTGCTAAGGAGAGCCTACCAAACCATGCTCTTGGTGACTGTTTAAGACCATAGAGTGCCTTTTCCAGTTTACAAACCAAGTTCTGTTTTGAATGTATTGTTTTTACTCCTGGAGGTATTTCCATGTAAACTTCCTCTTCTAGGTCACCATTCAAGAAAGCGTTCTTCACATCAAATTGTTTTAAGTGCCAGTCTCGGTTTGCTGCTATAGAGATTAGTATTCTGATGGTATTCAGCTTTGCCACTGGAGCAAATGTCTCTTGATAATCTACCCCATATCTTTGTGTAAATCCCTTTGCTACAAGTCTTGCCTTGTACCTGTCAATGCTCCCATCTGCCCTTAGTTTCACAGTATAAACCCATTTGCAACCAATTGTCTTTTTTTCATCCGGTAAAGAAGTCAGACTCCAAGTGTTATTTTTCTGAAGTGCTTCCATTTCAGTGTTCATGGCTTGCTTCCATTTAGGATTTTCCAATGCTTCCTGCACACTATTAGGAATTTGTACAGTAGATAATTGATCAATTGTTAAAGCATATGATTCAGATAGCCTATGGGATGACACATAATTGCTAATAGGATATTTCCCTTTGGCTTTCAGATTCGGTTCATAAGTAGCCTTTGGAATGCCTTTGTTTGTCCTCTCAGATCGTCTAATATGAGTATTATCCAAAGGTACAGGTTCTGTATTTTCGGCAGAAGTGGCTTCAATAGCAGGTGGGATTGGATGATCTGTATTTTGGGCAGAAGTGGTTTCAGTGGCAGGGAGTTCAGAATGTGTTTCATGTAGAGGAGGAATAGGAATAGAATTAGAAGATCAGAATTCTTCTTCTCGAATATCAGATATCTCCCCTGGAGAAGAAGAAGTTGAAACTCCCCCTGAATAGTAAGCTTCGGATTCATTAAAAGAGACTTCAAGTGTGACATACATCTTGTGGGTTTGAGGATCAAAACAGCGGTAGCCCTTTTGGGAGTCAGAATAGCCCACAAATATACATTTCTTAGCACAGGGATCAAGTTTGGTGCGTAAAACTTTTGGAATGTGGACAAATACGGTGCAACCAAAAACTTTAGGTTCTAGATTCATAACATGAGGAATTGAAAAAAAGGTTTGAAGTTTTTGTTGAGGAGTGAGAAATTTCAAAGAGCTAGAGGGGGTC